TCCTGCTGTGCTATTCTGGGTTCTCTGCAATTAAGGACTGCTGCCCACAGCCAAATGCAGTGCTGCCTCTGAAGCCTCTGGGGTGCCGTGCAGAGCCGGGGTATCAACTTGTGTTTTACATTCCTCAGTGCTGGTAATACACTGCAGGATGGCATTCGCCTCTTTTGCAGCAGCAGCAGCATTACGTGGTGGACTCGCGTGTATTGAATGGTCCACATTAACACTTAGTTCCTTCTACAGAACAGTTCCCTAGTCAGTTATTTTCCTTTGTGATTATATTAATCTGATTCTTAGAGTTATCTCAAGTCAGTCTTACCGATTTAGGACTTTGTTCTTTCTCTCATGTATTAAGATAATTTTTTAATTGTAAACATTCTCCACAGTGTTTGCAACCCCTCTAGCTTGGTGTTTTCCACAAATTTTATAGGTACAGTTATTCCATGAGCCAAATTGCTGATGGAAATGTTGATTAATATTAGGAACCCAGCACCCCTGGAACATCTGCTTTGACAGCATGCAACGTGAGCTGCTCCTTCAGTTCAGTGTGCAGTCACCCTTCAGCAAGTCTGTCCAGAGCCATGACTACCACCCTTCACCTGAGCAACAATCACAAGTGAATAACACTTTGGGAGTGATGTGAAATGCACCTTTCCTTGTCAATATCAATTCTATTGTGATTCCTATGGCTGGGAACAACAGAGTATCTTAGAGGCACATTGCTTTCAAGTCATGGGTTAAATACCATTGACCCAAGCTAGATTTTCTTTAAAACCCCCATGTTTTCCTGGCACTCACTTATCTCCAGATAGCCATGATATTTGGCTGGTTTTCTTGTTATTATTGTCTTTGTCAAACTAATTCCTAACAACAGGAGGAGTTACTATGAAATTTGTCAGTGGACTGGTATTTATGAGGGCATCCACTGGGGCATTCATCTCTACCCCATCCCATCTCTCCGAAGTTGTTTTGTGACTTATGTCTAGTATCAGTCAAGAGCTGCAGTTACTTGCATGCCTATGTAATGGACTGCTTTGAATTCAGATGTTTATATGTACATGCATTGGAGGATAGAAAGGAATCATACAGCGTAGCTTTCGTCTCTCAGTGGCAGATGGGAGATACAATTTCTTTCCTGTTTTCAAGTAACTAGAATTATCCAGAAGCTTCTTAGCATGGAGCAGGAGACCGTAGAGAATTCCTGAGCCTCAGGGGTTCAGACCTCAGTAGGTCTGCTTTTCTCAAGTGAAGGTTGTATAGCAAAGAGGATTACTTAAGTTGTTCCATGTATATGTATGAATGTGGCATGGCTGTGTACATATACAGCTCCCTGGGAATGTAACCATTTTGACAAAATATTTTGGAAAGGTTCCTCATATTCAGTACAGAAGCTGTGGTTAAAAGTAAAGAGAAAGACAAAGACTGTATCCCAGAATAGAAAATAGCATACACATTTTCTATACATATAGATGAAATGATTCCATAATTCACTTATGATATCATATTAAACACTAGTCAGAAGGACATGAATATTGAAGTACTTTCTACCCTAATCTGACTCTGGTATTATAAATATTTTATTCATTTTCTTATCTTCTGTTCCAGCTTCCTATAACTGTGAAAAGGAACATTTTGAAATGGATATGAAAAGCAATCAGAATGTCAGGTAACAGAGTCTTTTTTTATGCAAAAGCAGTGGCCATGAAATTTTATGCATGTATTTAGAAAATTTGTCATACTTAATGATAACGGAGAACTTAAAAAGAATGCAAGATTCCTTATAGATAATAATTTTGAAAGTTGTAAAGTATTCTCTTAAACTTGAAAACAACAATTTAAAAGAAGTGGTGAGTTCATGTATTTTGTTATTCTGTGTAATTTTCCGGAATTAATAAATATTTGCAAACTTATCTCACTTGAACAATTTGAAACTGTTTAGCCCCAATTAAACCTAAAAAATATAATGGGAACAGGATTAATATTATCTCAACAATTTTATAAAATTTATTTTCAGCTAGTACTGTGATAATATTTTATCACTGAAAAGTATTAAGCATGACTTAAATTGGAATAATTAAAACAAAAATATATGGAGCAGGACAAATTTTTTAGCACGTAAGTTAGGAATGCATTTACACATATGATTAATTTAAAATTATTGCTTTCACATTTCTTAAAGAATTTTCATGTGAAAAAACATCCAGATTTTCAGTGTTGAGCCAGCAGAGTCACAGTTGCGAAGGAAAAGGAACACAAACAATAGTGTGTGAAAAATGTTGAAACTGAGTAGGAAGGAGAATTTTGTGGAATATGATTTAATTTAATCATGTGTCATTTTGATTGTAGAGCTGGTCCTAAGGAGCAGAAGATCCCCTATGTGCGACTGGAACGTCTAAAAATATGTACATCAGAAGCGGGGGAGCTCCCGGTGTTTAAGCTCCAGCCACAGGACAATAAGCCGGAGGGCAATGTCCTCCTGATAATTGAATGTGGGACCCAGTCTTCAAGTATGTCTATAAAGGTGAGCAGAATTTCCTTGAGGCTTTACCTGCTTTCTCCCCTTTATCCCACTGGCTTGTACCCACAGTTTCTGAAATTTATTCTACACTAAACAAGCCTTTTGATTCATTTGACCCTCGGACACTTCTGTGATGGGCTGAAGTAATACAGAATGCAGCTTTTAGTTTGCTGTGTAGTGCTCTGATACTTCCATTTGTGTCCAAGTCTGTCTCTGAGTTTGAATAGCTGTAGTGTTTTTGTATTCTAGCAACAAACCTGGCTCATCTGTCTAGTAACAAATATAGGATAAGTGGCTTAAAACTGAACCAAATGCATATTTGAGTGATAGAAACAGATCCCAGAAATCACAGTGTAATAGATTTTTAAAAGCTTTGTATTCAATTGCTTCAGTGGAGTCTTGAGCGTGAACTTCTTTCCACAGAAGGAAATGGGAATTTCTGGTGGGAACAAAAGACTACACTCTTTTTGAGCTGTTTACTGTCAAATTTGCAAATAAGATTTTGAAGTATCCTGTTTCTATCATCTGTGGTATGAAATCTGTTCAGCTGTCTCTCAGTGCTATTACATTGTTGTATGTGAAGGTATTGACTTGACCAAGGTGACCTGGCCAGCCAGTGGCAGACGTCAAGCTGAGTGTGGGCCTACTGAAGCCAAGTGCCCTCTCCAGTAGAGTTCACTGCAAAGAAACTATTTTGTCTGCAGCTAATCACTGCTGTTAGATGCTTATATATGCAAATGATGATTGTGTGATCCCAGATTTTTCTTCCTTCAAGATAAATAAAGATAGTCCACCTGAAGGACTGAAATCCAAAGAGGAGAGCTCAGAGGCCAGAAAATCTCTCATATCCCAGGCTGCAGGACAGACACAGTCCTCTCCTGTAGATACTTCATCTGTTGATCAGAAACTCAGCAATGGCATCTCCATCACAAAAAAATCTCCAGTTACTCAGGAAGTCAATCCAATTGAAAATGAGGATTTCTGCGCTGTGTGTCTCAATGGAGGAGAACTGTTGTGCTGTGATCACTGCCCCAAGGTCTTCCATCTCTCCTGCCATGTTCCAGCCCTGCTCAGCTTTCCAGTGTGAGTATGTATGTATGACTAATATGCTCAGTTTCTGCTCACTACCTTGGGGCAGTATATATCCTCAGGGATGTATGTGTCAACCTTACACAAGGGCAAGGACTACATCTCTCACTTGCCTTTTTCGTTACTTTTCTTTCAAAGGGAAGAGTTGTCTTACACACTAGGAACTAGATGAATTATTAACAGGAACTGTTTCCAGCCATGCATGCCGTTTTTGCATTTAGCTGGCCAGTACAACAAAGGAGGTTGCAGATCTGAGCTTTAAAAAACATTCATATGACTTACTGGAGAAAAACAAAATCCTAACTCTCATGTAACATCTGTGGTGTAGATGTCAGCTCTTCTCTGCAAGAACACTGACTAGCACAAGGAAAGGGGAATCAGTGAGTTCCTATTCAGTTTTCTAGCCAGTTTTATTTAGCCAATTTTTATAATAGCCAATTTAGGATTATTGGGGCTTTTGTGTCGGTGTTTAGGACATTGGTTTCCCTAAGACATATGTTCCTTAGCAACTTGTCACTAATGAATTCTATGCAACAAAGAGCCAGAATTAGGTACACATCCACATACTAAATGTTAAAAGTGAGGCTGAATAATGTGCATTGCTGGTGGTGTGTAATTCTGAATTCTGTTACAAATCATCACTGTGTGGGACCAGAGGCTACTTTATTTGTGCCAGGCCCAAATAACTGTCTCAGCTGAGAAAAATACATTGTGAAATATTAGTTGGGGATTCTGGTTTGTTCTTTCTGTTCAAAAAGCAGAATTTCCATCTCATGGCTTTTCACTCTTTTCTCCAATAGCTAAGTCTTTATCAAACCAATAACATCTTAAAACAATGTGAAAACAAAGATTTCCTTTTAAAATAAGCTTCCTAGGCAAAGTTAAATTCTAATGAAGTAAATTAATTCCCTTAAGTAAAGTTCTTTATTCATAGTTCTTTAATATACCTCCATCTATAGTCATTCAAGCCCTGATGTAGCAGAAGTTGCATCATTGCTTTAATGAAATTCTTCAAGAGGTTTCTGAAAATGGATCTACTAGGAAGGACACTTATACCCTTGCAGAATTATGTCTATTTGGTTTGGGAACCTGTGTACTAGCACACACTATGACCTTTCCTGATAATGTTGACTTCTTAGATAAATATGTCAATTATGATATAAATTGATAATAAATATATCAGTTATCAAACAGATCTGTTTTTATCTTATGACCTGACTGGTGGCTATTTTTCCATAATATTTTTTTTTAAAAAACAGCACTTGAATCAGTGCAGCTGCACACACTGCTGGTACATGATTTCACACACTGTTTTGTCTTTTTCTCTGTGACAGAAAAAGTGCAATGAGTAGAATCTGAAACTATTGCACTTCTAATTAGATTCAAATCTCTTGAAGAACATCTAGTAGAATAGGCTTCAGATTGTCCACTATCAGTTAAGGATGAGACTTGTTTCCAAATACAGTGATTCCTGAGGTTTGTTATTTGACAAGGTTGCTGACAAAATTTGACACAAGTTTTTGGTTTCTTGTTTTGCAGGGGAGAATGGGTGTGCACGCTTTGCCGTAATCCAGTGAAGCCAGAGGTAGAATATGACTGTGAAAACGCACGCTACAGCCACAACTATAATGCACAATATGGCCTTGATGACTATGACCAGAAGGTGAGAATAACTATGTATTGTACTGTTTAGAAAAGGACATGTGATCTCAGCATGAGGTTTTGCCTCTTCGTTGGAAAGATGACTTTTGACTTGGTTGCTACTGGAATGTTTCAGAGAGTAGTAAATACAACAAAAGCATTGCTATTACTCAGTTATATAATTTTCTATCTAGACATCGCTGTTCAATTTTAAGGTGAATGATATGTTACAGAAAGATGAAGCAGGCAGATCTGGAATTCCTTTCTCCTTTGAACAGGGAGGTCACATTCAACAGCAGAATAAACTTTTCTGAGTCAACTTCACCTGGCTTCCTGCCACTGAATCTTTTTCCTTTAAGACTTGGCACCTTCTCAGACATCTACTTAGGCCAGTTGCTATGACATTTTTGTGATGTAGACACTTTTGGACATTCAGTTGGATTGAAATCTTCATACAGTGTTCATATGTACCATTAATCCCCTTGAAGATGACATTTAGGCACTGTTAACTCAGCCTGGATGAAAGCTTATCTCTTTACATCCCCATTACCATTACCAGTTTCCTCTACTAAATCTCCCATGAAAAAATGCCTTTACTTATAGTCCACTTTGTACTTGGAAGCCACAAGTTCCAAATAAATGACCTGTGTATATTGGTGACAGCTGGATAGGGAGGATAAGTCCACAGAGCTGAGTGCAGATGCTGAGCTGGCCCTGCACAAATGAAGCCCAGAATAAGGCACTGATCTAGTCTGGGCACCATACATAAGGTTAACAGCCATGGTTCTTGGAGCATTGGGGCTCCATAGCAAAGCCTATGAGTGTAGCCATAGCACTACTCAAATTCATCCATGCTGTTTCCAGACCTGAGCTACTCTATGTCCATAAAGAGCTGGACACAACTTCTTGACATGGATGTGATCCCTGTTTCTATTGGATTGGGTACAACTGGCCAGAAATAGTTGGGATCTGGGTCTTGATTAGTGAGGTTCTATTTAGAAAATGGAGTTGATAAGAAATTCCATTCCTTGTGAGCAAACATGGCTTATAATGTTTTTGTAGTACATTTCTTTGCATCAGTGAAAAAAACCAAAGACTAGTATAAGTATTTTACAAGTTAACAAAGATTAAATGGAACTGTTTTCACACAGTACTACCAGCTACATAACTTACATCCATGTGTATGAAGGGATATGAACAGTGAAATGTTTTCCACTTAACTGTTTCCACGCTGTTGCTGTCATTCTTTTAGTCAAGAGCCAAAGAATAGATCTGGAGTGCAAAAAGGAAATAATATTAATTATGAATTCCTAAGAGTTTCCAGGAAAGATACGTGCATACAAAAATTTTTATACAATGGGTTTTTTTTCATGCATTTCTTGACTATCCTCACTTTGAAAACTCTAAAAATGCTATGAGGCAAAACATTCCCCAGGTTAGAGTGAAGTGTGCCACTTTGCATCAGAAATGCAGAGACTACATGAAAACTCCCCTTGTTAGCATGATTGATTAACTAAGGGCAAGAATGCAACTCACTTGTTTTGAATTAAAATGTATTTCAAATTTGGCTTCTACAGAAGTGTGAAAAGCTGGTGCTTTCCCTGTTCTGCAGTAGTATGAGCCTCCCATTCCATGAACCCGTCAGCCCCCTGGTAAGTACTGTACACACATGGGTCAGAGGGAGTCCAAAGAATACTTTGGCACACCTTGCAAGTTTCTCCTTTGTCTTCTTGAAAGATATTCATTAGCTTTTCTTCTGAATGGTGTTGCTTCCTAGGGAAGAGTAGCTGTTTTCCTCTGGCAAGTGCTTTGAGGGTGCCAGGTCAGAGGCAGGTAAATGCTGGCCAATGTTCTCAGGCCAGGTTTGGGTGCCAATATAAGATGCTGGTAGGATACTAAAGGTATATGAGGGGTTCCAGTGAATAAGAAAGTTGACTTGCTGCATGCATGGAGAATGTTGCACTGGCATAAGAGAGGTCTGCTTTAGAAATAACCTCGGACTCCCTCTTTAGAAAACACCTCTTCTGGTGTTTTGCACAGAGGTGGTAATATGACTGTGTTCAGGGGAAGACTGCTGTTTCATCTGTGTACTCAACATTTGCAATATTAACTGGATATTTTAAGGGAGATGTAGATTCACATTATTGTAACAATAGAACACAATGTGAGACAAGTTGGAGGACAAAAATGAGAAGGACAAAAAAGGTTTTATGTGAGGGAATAGTCCAAATAACAATATAAAAAATATTCCTCCTAATAAAGCTTGCAATGAACTTACGGAACACATTACCTAACAAGTAGGTTTTGACCTAGAAAGATTTAAAGAGTGGGATATCCTGGTAGCTGGTGCCCATTGAAAAAGACTTTTTTTGAACTTTAAAAAGAGTGCATGGTAGCATATTTTTAGTCACTCTTGGCAGGCTACTTCCCACAGTATCAGCTGCCAGTATCTCAACACATTATTTGTATAACTGCTTGGGGGAAATGTTAGCTAATTGTCAGTGTTACATATATTATTGATTATGTTTAAATGATGACATTTATATCTGGGGATAAACTTTAGAAAGTGCAAATAGCAGAGTAGTCACTGAAGTGTGCTACTTTCAAGATCAGTCTCAGTCTTGCAAGCAAATATGTTTTTAATCAAACCAAAAAGCACCCAGGAAGACGATATGCAAGTCTAGGCACCAAAAGACTAGAGCTCTCTTCCTTGATGCAAGGAATCCTCTGCAGTGACTTCTGACCAAACTTGGATGGAAGTCACTGGAGAGGAAATGTTTTAATTAAGAAGGTGACATACCTGTCTTTTATTCTTATTGCAGGCTCGGCATTATTATCAAATCATCAAAAGGCCAATGGATTTGTCAATCATACGAAAAAAGCTGCAAAAAAAGAACAAGTCCCACTATTCTGCACCTGAAGAACTTGTGACTGACGTGCGTCTCATGTTTTGGAACTGTGCAAAGTTCAATTATGTAGGTTTCTAATATGCATGGGTGGGGGGATACAAACCAGAGGGTTGCTCTTTTGAGCTGTCACAGTGGTGTAACTATCGGTTCCATTGGCATCAGATAGGGGATTGGGATAAACAAGTATTAATCAGTTTTACTCTTTGGAAATTATATAAATTTTTTTTAATGACAGAAATGAAGATACATATGTATATGGACCTGAGAACTTCTTGAGATACATGTGAATCTAAAATTAAAGAGGCACACCTTAGAGCAGACGACTTTTTGGAATGATGCTCAGTTTGCTGTGAGAAGCCAGTCATAGCCAGCTAGAGAAAGTTCAGGTGCATAGAGATTCCTAAGCAAGTATGACTGCTATTCTTTCTAGTTTACTGCACGCCTCTTTTTCTTAGAGGTGCAGAAATGTGTTCCTTAACAGCAGCATCTGGTTTTTACTTATATTGTAAATGCAGAGGGACTAATGGGCTGTAGAAAGTGGACAGGAGACTAATGGAGATGTAGCAGGCAGAACCAAGGTGAGATATTAGCGTAGGGCGGTCATTTGGTTTTGATTCTTGATGTTACTGTGTGCACTAACACTGAATGGTTGTTTGTTCTCTTATAGCCAGATTCAGAGGTTGCTGAGGCTGGACGATGCCTAGACGTCTTCTTTGAGGGCAAACTGAAGGAGATTTATCCAGACAGGCATTTTCCTTCAATGCAACAAGAAGACTCTGATTCTGAAGAAGTGGAGAGTCAGAATAGAAAAATGCCACCCCAAGATTTTCAGTGGCCATCACATGGACAGGAGTGTGTTCAGCCTAAAAGGAGACGGCGCCATGCTGTAAGATTGCAAAAGCAAAAGCATTTGGTTGCTAAGTGGCCACCCTGCTAATTCTGTTTACAGCTACTGATGGGAAGTTTCGACAGGGCTGTGTGGGAAAACTGTCAAGCTTCTATCACAGAGATGTGATCAGTTCTACAATTTTATGTCAAGATCCTCTGAGTGGAATAAAGTGTCAGTTGTATATAAATGTGTGAGCATGAACAAATGAAGTCTCTCAGGCCACACAGTTACCTTCTTATCAGAAAACTCTGTCAAGATTTTAAAAAAGACTAAGCCCTCTAGCTATTCACTGTTTGTTTCCTTTGTACACAGGAAAGTGAAAAGACTAAAAGAATGATGTTTCAGCCAGCTAACAGCCTTCCTTAGGTATGACCTCCTCAAGATACGAGATTTACTATGAGGAATCCAGCAGCATAACTGATGGACTTAAGGTGTGTGGGAGGAAAGCAAAGCACTCGGGCTGTTTCTTTCTCTCTCCTAATCTGCTGACCATATGCCTTATTTCTAGATCTTGTGGATAGCTAACAGATCCAAAGTGTTTGAATCTGTCATTATTTAATCTGTTAAATCATGTATATGTTTTGCAGTGTTTACACTGAAGTACTAATGTTTTGGTGATAGCTAATGATGATTAATAATAAAAGTAACATGCTAATAATACCTAATACTGCAGTACCGTTTTATAATCTGTTCAACATGACATCTCTATTTTATAGAGCACAGGTAACCATGTAATAATCTTGCAAGCTCAGTGTGAATGTTGGCCATGCTTTATGATAAATATGATGTGTGGTTATAAAAGCCATAGTCCTGTTGTCTTATTCAATGATTTTTCTGGGAGCTTGACGCTCAAGGCCTATGAGACAGTCTAATGTGATTATCTGATCAGCTGTTTCTTTTGAAGCAGAGCATTTTCATTAAATCACAAAAGAACAAGTGCTAATAGTGCTAATACTAGGGCTCTGTGTGAACTCTTTCTGAGTGTATACTGGATGTTCTCTTTGCAAAGAATGTTTTTTCTGGTATCTAATTCATGCTCAGTAAAGCAGTGTGGCATTTCTTGGGTCTCAAAGGTAGCATTTTTATACAACCCAAGCCAGCTGTTTTTCTTTAAAGCAGATATTGGAATTCAGTAAATTAACTATGAAGCAAATTACATGGTTATAGAAGTGCCTATAAAATAATGTCCTATAGTCCTGATTTTTCTCTTTGCTTATTTCATGTAGTTGTGATTACCGACAGTGCTAGAAGATGATGATAATGTGTATATGTACAAGCTCAAACAGAATGAAAGGGTGTCTAAGCTTATTTTTTTTTTCTAAATTCCACAATATGTTGGCAGAACACCACCAAGGGCCAGAAGAGCAATTTTAGAGCTCACTTGAACAAAGCGTAGCATGTAATTGCAAAGCCTGAAGAGTGGGATAGGTAACAAGACATGACACCTGATCAGAGACTGATGGTTTGCAAACTGCTTCTCACCTCTTCCAGAAGCAGGCGAGCCAGATCTTTGCGAGGCCAATGCTTTCTGTGTGTGTGTGAGGGGCATCTTCCTCCTTAGAGCTCTGCCCAGCAGTATAAAGCTGGGCTGTGGTCTGGCTCTGAGAGAGAAGGGTTGTTGCAGATCTCAAACACAGTTAAAGTTCATTTTAATTAGGTTCCTGTAAATAAAGATAATATTTTCAGCATAGTTTATATGGTCTATTTGGTCTGGTAACCCTGTATGTTATTTTAGATAACACTTTAAAGTAAAGGTTTATATATGAAATAATAAGATGTGAATGTTATATTCTATGATGTCTGTGACTTACTGTTTGCCATTAACTTGGTAGTGAGCTAATGTTTTCTTTTCTTTGAAGAAATGAAAATCTGGATATTATAAGCTGACTGGAAAACTGTGAGATGAAAGGACAGCCTTTACGTTTTCTGTATGTGAATTCCTATGTGTTTGCTTTCTGTCAAACTCCTGTTCTCAAAACAGTAAGTGTCTTGGCACAGGGAAATGAGTGTAGGTTTGTAACTGAATTAATAACCCTTATCTGTGCTACAGGTATCACCTATTCTCAGTTGGTAATTAATTCATCCACCAAAGACCTATCTTTTACCATTAATATGACAAAACCAACATGCTGTATAGCCTTCTAGGGCTTCTAGGGGTTAAGGTAGAAATGGGAGAGACTATTGACAACTTCCTCTTGGAAGAACAGAGTCAACAAGAGCCTGCTTCTCTTTCTTAAAGGCTGTAAGTTTGTTAACTGTACCACTAGTTTTGGAGAACACCTGTTTTAATAAAATTTATCCAGGGTATATTACACCTTTATTAAAAATAGAAGTGTACCAGTTTGTCATCATATATAAGATACCCTTTGGATGTGTGCTGGCAGGACTGTATGGCCTGAGCACTCTTAAGGCTAGCTTTGGTTTTGGTTACTTCTCTAAGACATAGTAACAGTTAAAAAAATCCTGGTAAACTTCATGTCGTGTTGGTAAGCAGAACAAAAACTGAACTCATACATATGACTTGACATACTTTTAAACACAAATCTGCAGCTCAGCAATTTCGTAATAGATTGCATGTCATAAGAACAACATTATCCCTCTTGGACGTTGCCTTAAAATTGCTGGCTTGTGATGTTCCTGCTGCTGGACACCATACCACCAGGGCCCATAAATTCTTGGGGCATTTACTCTGTTGAAGACGAATTGCACACTGGTAACAGCACTGACAGGTACGAAAGAAAGGTTCTCTCTCCTAAAATCTAACTAACTGCCCACATGGCCCAAAAGAGAAATGATAGGTTATGTAGTTACTTTTTCTTCTATCACACAGCCTGTTTCACAATCCAGAATCCGTAGGAAAGGAAGCATGGAGGAACCACTGAAGTTTTCCACTGGCAGTAAGTATGGCAGCAACAAATGCCAGGAACACTGTGGGAACCCCAGCGAATGCACTAGGCTCCTGCAAATGCAACCAAGGGCACAATTTTTCCTTTTGTCTTTAGAAATGGGTTAAACGTAGAATGGGAAAATCCTCTTTGTGCTTAAGCAGTTGGAGAAGAGATTAATTACACTCCAGTAGCAGGTCTGTTGAAGAAGAAATGACAGCTACAAATTTGACTTTTATTCCCCTACAGACAGTTTCAAAGATGTACTTCTTCCAGTATCATTACAGCAGAATGATAGGCGTTAGAGTTAATACAAACTGGTGTTTAACAATTCAGATTATTGAATGGCTGCATGTTTGTATGTGTAATGTGCTTTGCTGAACAATAAAATATGTGAAATGTATTTTTGCACATCAATCTGAAATATTTGCTCAGAGTACATATGCTTTGAATTAATATATGGATGGTATAACATTGTTTAATGCTTATTAGCTAAGTTGTTGATAACTACTGAAGGCAAAGCGGAATGGTTACAAAAGCAGCTATGCTAACACAGGAGATCAGCTTTCTATTTGTGCTGGAATTTTAAATACCAAGTAGGTATTTTGCCATTTTGTTTTTCAATTAGTGTAAGCTAGTGAGAACCAAACATGCCATGAACAAGTAACAAAAAAATTTGTAGTTTAAATGTATGTGAACATTAAAGTGCCAAGAACATACCACTTACCAGTGAGATGAAAAAACTATTGTGGTGTCTTCAGAAGGAATTGGAAAAGATGCTCTAAAATTGAAAATGCTAGAAAATGAAGAATTATAGAATAATTTAAAAAAATAGAACAAAAATACTCCATTGGCAAAAAGTCAAGCAGATACTGCAGATGTTATTTCTATTGTTATTGGTTCTTCTCAGTTTGGTTTATAGGAGTATAAAACTATCACCAGCAACTTGCTGACCTGGAGGCCTTACTGGCTTGAGGGGTAAGGAATCCTTCTTTCAGGGTTACAGCTGTACTGCTCTTCAGACATAATTAGGAGAGAATTTGTAGATAGAGGTAACTTTTTTGTTGCATAAACAGGAAAATGTAGAAAAACTTCTGGGCATGCAATTCCTTCGAGTGTGAAATAGAGGCAATAGACTTCAAAGATAAATACCAGCTGAGTTTCTCTGACTTTAATTAGATATCAATGAGAGAATCTGCGGGAAAATAAAGATAGGCAGTAGTCATGGGCTAAGGAGGATGCACATCTCTGGAAGCTGTCTTTGTAGATCAAGAGCAAGAAGTGAGAGGTAGAGTGATTGTTTTTTGAGAAATGCTACCCTGTTGTCTGTTCCTGTCCTTTAGTAAATGTTTATGAAAGTTCATTTTAGTGTGTAGTTATGTGTGCTTTCATGAGAGCATTTAGTAGATTCGCAGCATTTAGTCTACCAAGTAGACTTTCATAGAATTTTATATTAGGATATGTAACAGTAAGAACAATGATATTTGGATGGCTTTGTTGTGAAAATTGTTTACTCTGGTGGGAATACTTACGGTGGAGATGACAAATTTCTACCTTCCGATCTGTTGTTGAATTTCTAGCTCCACTTGCTCCATTTTTATTCCAAGTGTCTGAAAAGAAGTTTTTGAAAGACACTTTTCAGATAACTTCTTCCTGCATAGGATGTAGTTTGTAACAGATTCCCTGTAAATTCTGTCTCCCAGTATATTTCTGCTGTAGAGAAGTCCTTTTTGGATTAAGGAGATAAGACATGCAAGTGTTTTTCCCCAAGCAAATAGGGTAGTGTCTGAAGGTCAGGGAGTATTTTAATGCTTTTGGAGAGTGTTTGAGATGGTTAACAGTTTTATGGAAGTAGCAATGCTGATTTATGGTTGTGCTGTGGATGTTAGTTGTAAGTTACTGTTCTTGATCTTCATCGTAGTGCCTAGGACAATTATGTCAATACGGATGTGTTCCAGAGGCAGTCTGATACCAAGGCAATGCCTATTAAATATGTTGTGAACGTCACTGAGGGAATCCAGGTTTCCAGTACAGGTGATAGAGATGTCACTTAGTTATTTTAGGCATAATAAAGATGCTGTGTTCCTAGATGGTCTGTGCTGAGATGACACATCTGTCCTTTATTCTAACATTCCTCCCTTACCTGATTTGCCTGATTGCTTGCCACACTAGAATGACTTTTTGACAATGCTTCTCATTAGCAGTTGTGAGTTCACTTTAGATGGAAAAAAAAAAAGTGTATATATATATCTATATACTGACATCTAGGCAGGAAATGAAACATACTTGAATATTTTTCCTTGTTTGCTTATTAGCCTGCACTTGCTTCTGATGAAGTAAGAAAGAGCAGGAAATTATTCCATGATATCCTGCTCTAGGAAAATGTGTTGGTGCTATTTCATTTTTAACCGTAGACTTTCTGGAGTTTCTTGATGTAGTGCAGGTATGGGACAAACAGGGAAGTCATGAGACACCTTATGGGAAATTCACATGAAAACATCA